TTGGAGTACCCCTTCAGTGGGTCTATCTAAAAGACTCCCAAATTGCATAACTCTTATCTCTAGGGGGAAAAGAAAGTCCTTGAATCGTGACTAGGAGACGTGAAGGAGAAGTAAAGGCAAGGGTAATTTAGCATTATAAGTTCTAGACAGGGAAGTAGAAAAAAGTCAGAACAGGGCAATTTTCAAATGTTCATATGAGAGTCCATTGGAATTTCTTGACAAGGGCTTCCAAAAGCATCCCTCTATTGGGTTCCTCCTCCTTTTTCTTTTGTCTTCCAAGGCTGGGCTCTAGAGTGATGGATTCAGGATTTGCTTTCAGGTTTTTTGATTAGAATCAGTGTCAGTTCCCTCTCAAAGGCTCCTAGATAGGGGGAGAAAACAAATTTATCCATCATTTTTAGAACACTAGCTGGTTGTCTCCCTTAGCTACAGGTGGACACTACAGTATTGGAAACCAAGATTTGAAGTCTTACATCTGAGCAGCACTTTCTGGTTAGGAACAAGTGTGTATTCTATATTATATATTTTTTATATATATATATATATATATATATATATATATATATATATATGTAGAGAGAGAGAGAGAGAGAGAGAGAGAGAGAGACTTAAGCCTAATGTCTGAGAAGTGTAATCCCTTGAACTCTTATATACTGATGACTTTACTCTTTGGTTATACTTTACTTTTGAGTCCCAAATTTCTTATTTCTCCGTTGAATGAGAGAGTACCAGACTTGTTAGAGCAAAAGTGCTGAAATCAGGCTCCTTCTTTAACCCAGTCTGCATTGTGGGCTTGTAGCTTTTTACCTTGTTCTTAGTCTTGTAACTCCATGAGACTCCAAAAATAGGCGGTAATACCTTTCCACATTTTCCAGTTGTAACCCAAACCCATTCACATCAGACTTCAACTTGACTTCAACTCTGAGGTCCAGGGGCAGTCTTTAAGATGTTGCCCTACTACCAGAGTGGGCAGGTACCATGTGGTACCTTGACAGATAAAGTGGTATAGGGCTGATTCTCAGCACCTCCTTTCCTATAGGAACTTAGAGAAAGCTGCATCAACTTGATCCCAGTTGCCTTGGAAAGGCTTAAAATACAAACATTCTGGGGAAGTAGTAGCACACAGTTGAATTTCTGCTAAGATGTAACTGAATACAACTAGATTTCCCCGAGAACAGGTTTGTTAGGAAGAAGAATAAGGAGTGTGAATGGGGTTGATGCAGGGATTGGGAGAAGATTCCAGTGAAGGGAGGCTGGGGATGCAGACCAAGCTTCCTCCAATTCCAGTGTTTCCAAGTGCAGCCTGGAGGACCCAATACAGGTGCTGGGCTCTTCTGTATTTTATTTTATTTTTAAAAAATATTTTATTATTTTTATTTTATGTGTATGAGTGTATTGCCTGTATGAGTGTAAGTGCACCCGTGTCGTGCAGTGCCCGTGGAGGTCAGAAGAAGGCATCAGATCCCCTGGAATTGGAGTTAACGGGTGTTGTTAGCTGCTCTGTGGGTGGTGGGAATCGAACCTGGGTCCTCTGCAAGAGCAGTCAATGCTTTTAACCACTGAGCCCTCTCTCCAGCCCTCTTCTGTATTTTAACTAGACTCTTGGTGGTGATTTTCTTTGATTTCTTCAGGCTCTACCCCCTCCCCCACCTTGTCACTTGCTAACTGATGACCTTAACATACAGTAAAGTTCCACTGGATTTAGTTTACACTTATTCTACTGCTTCATGTATACTTTAAGTAGAAGCTGAAAACAACACTGGACATCTGTGAATGCTTAATATTTTTAATGATCTAAGGGCTTCATCCACTTTTCTGAAGAAATGGCCCATCCTGCCCACAAAGCCTGGCCTGCTTTCTTGCATAGTCTTTTAAGCTTCCAGTTGTAAGTGACCCAACAATTACGAGTTGTGTGGCTGCAGTGTAAGAATTAGTTGGATTCCTCCCAAAAGTGATGGAGGAATTTGTGGGAGCTGAGATGAAGGTTACTCCTGTATGTCCAACTTTGTTTCTGCAGTCTTGACCTAGGCTGGCCTCTGAGTGTTTGTCAAGGACAACATGAGGCTTCTGAGCTTAATAACAATATGAGAACAAATGGATTAGACTTCCCTCTATTTTGCTTGGATAGATTGTTTTAGCTTTTCTCTGCCTATGGGTTTTCTAAAGTGTTAGCCCTTTTCTTCCTATGTGAAAGAAGCATAGCTTGAATTCATAAATGAAGCCATACACAGAGGTACCCAGTTACTGATTCATTTCCCCATGTATGAACAGATGGGCATCTCAACACCATCTCCTTCAGCCTGGAAGAGGAAGAGGAACTGGAGAGTGGAGGGTCAGCAGAATTCACATGCTTCTCAGAAGATCTGGTGGCAGAGCAGCTGACCTACATGGATGCAGTATGTCTTCTTGCTGTGCCCACTTTAAACATGGGATAGTGACAGTATTGGTGTCCCAGAGAGGGTAGTGGGCAACACTGGGTAGTGTCATAGAAGTCCTTTTGAATCCTTGACAGAGTCTGCCTATAAAGACAGAGTTAAGATGCTACATGAATCAATTGTGTGAATAATTCAAGCCTGGGTGAAGGAGCATTTTTCCTTGACGCTCAAGTCACAGAGGGAAATAAAAATTCTAATCCTAGTGAAACAAAATCTACCCTGTTCTGTTGGGTATTTCTCTCCCTTTAGACTCATAAATATTTCAAGAGCCGAGTGTTTATTTGGAAGATTGTAAAGGGGTCAAAGCATAAGTTAGGCTAAAGTAAATTCATTGACTCCACATGTGACCATATCTGGCAGCCTGTTTCCACCTGTGTTTCTACACTCTTGAAGTTTGACTATTTTTGTGTTCTGTACGTATTCGATTATGTCGATCGCATTTCAAAGCTCTGAGTTTACCAGAGCTATGGTAAATACCAGTTAGAGAATCAGCAGTTATCATAGTGGCTTTAGCTCTTCTGTACTTACTTAACTCTGTCACACTTACAGCATAGAAAGTAGCAAAGAGTTTTGATCGAATGAGCAGGCAAATAAAGTATTGAAAGTAAATTAGCATACATGGAGTGAATACTGGCCATCTTTCTTTCATACAAAATTGTGTGCATCTTATATTGAATTGTAAAATGAGAATCTGTTCAACCATTTTTTTGTGGTTGTATAACTAACTGATAGCAAAGGAAAAGGTGAAAAATACTTTGGTTATTACCTTAAATAAAAGATCCGAAAACCAGGCCTTAGGTCCCTTCCTCTTCCTTTCACTGTGTGAGGTGGAGTTTTTTCCCATTCCGTTTGCTTCTTTCTCTCTTTATTGTGAAGAATGGATAACAGTGACATTGAAGGATGTGGCATTGCTGTACTTCTGTGGAGTACTTTTTGGGTTGCCTGAGAGCATCCGTTTCCTGATAGACATGCCACACATGGCCATGAGTGTCCAGGATACACCATGGGCATGATAACTGGAGCCTCCCCACCCCCATTTTTATCATTAGCACAGATTTTGCTTGAACTCTTACTTGACTTTCTGTGCAGGGCAGGTAAGTCAAAATGGTTTTGGCCATTTTAACTTTCTTTTGGTCATTGTGTTCTTATTTGCTCAATGAAGCAGATTGCAAGATCACATAGGCCTTTCTGGGCCACTAAGATATTACTTATTTAGTTCTGTCTGTTGAGATGGACACCATGAGGCAAGTCGAGAAAGATTATTTGTCCATTCATAAAATACCAATTTTCAGATGGCCTAGATATTGTGTTGTGATGAAGCATCTGTGTTTTCCTTAATGTCAATTCCTCTTTTGTTCCAGCAACTATTCAAGAAAGTAGTGCCTCACCACTGCCTCGGCTGCATTTGGTCTCAGAGGGATAAGAAGGAAAACAAACATTTGGCTCCTACGATCCGTGCCACCATCTCTCAGTTTAATACCCTCACCAAATGTGTTGTCAGCACCATCCTGTGGGGCAAGGAACTCAAAACTCAGCATAGAGCCAAAATCATCGAGAAGTGGATTAACATTGCTCATGTAATTACCTTTTTAAACATTTTTTTTTTTTTTGGAAGATGGAGACTACTCTGTCACTCTGTTTAAATGGATTAGCCATTTGGTTATAAGGTAGTCAGAAAACTACAGACCCATTGGATTTTGTTGTTGCTCCTGTTTTAAAGTTAGAAGAATGTTGTCTGCTTAGCCTTGCAAACATTTTTTTCTCTTTAAAACAATAGTGACAACAGCAACTGGTCTGTTTACTTCTTTCCCCTCATCTTCGACACTACTGCTTTTTCCTTCCTATTTCTCCATAGGATGAGTGTCTGTGGATGTGTGTTTCATGCTTAATAAATATTAACCCATGGTCTGTTTGTCAGATAAACAAGTTTTCACCCCAGAATATTAATTACCCATGTACCCCCAGAACCCAGAGGCATTGGATTTGAAGAGCTGGTACATGCTCACAGTCCTCAATCTCATTTCTAAAGGACCAAGATGGTTCACCAGATCCTACTTTACTCTGGGGCCTTTCTGAGACCTTTTGATTTCAGACCTGAGTCTGAACCTGAGTTCCCAGATATGAATTATATTCTGCCTAGGGTCAGAGTCTAGTCTCTTGGAGTCACTACTCACACGAATGTGACCAGTATCAAATGTCATGCAGAAGAAATGACAGTATTCAATTAGTTGGTCATGTATTTTGTAAGCTTCTAATGTGTACAGCTACAATATTATATACTTTATGGATATAACAAGATAGAACACAGTTGATTTAGCTGTACAGGAGCCAAACTTACTGAAATTCTTCAGCATGGGCAGGTGAGAAGTCAACACTATACATATTATAGAAGTGAGAGAAGTTACTTCTAAATGGGGTGATCAAGGAATACTGCATCAATGAATTTATTTTTATAAATTAAATAATGGACTTTTGGGTGCTTGAAGATGAAAGATTTTCTTCTAGTCAAGAGGGAATATCATCAAAAATTATTGTGAAAATATTATTATATAAATACCTTACTAGTTTATGTTCCAGGACATGTAACCCTCAACTAAAACATATTTTGCTTCATATCCCATTAGAGGTGCCTTTCACCAAGCCCTATTTGTAAGGCACAATGCTGAAGTTTTTCATATTTTCTTTTCTTGTTTTTGATGAAAGAGCAAGACCATATTTGTTTCAGAGAATTTGCCTTGTTTTGAGGATTTAAGATGGCCTATGACTTCAGACATTCTAGTATCTGGAAAATACGAGCAAGAAGCAAGGCATAAAAGTCACACAAGCAGCTAATACTTCTCCTACATTCAGCTTATTTTCCACAAAATAATTTTGAAAATGGGACATGGTGGTGGTCTTTAGTTCCAGCACTCAGGAGGCAGAGCCAGGTGATCTCTGTGAGATCAAGTCCAACCTGGTCTACATAAAGAGTTCCAGGCCAGCTGGGGCTACAGGGAGGTCCCGTCTTAAACAAACAAACAAACAAAAATTGTGAAAAGAATTTGAAGGATATTAGCATGGATTTTTTTTCTTCTTAGAATTGTTAGAAAATATGTTCAGATCCACTGAACATTGTAGACATCCTGTAGCAAGAACATGGCACCTGTGTAGGGCACAGTATGGCTCAATGACTTCAGTTGCAGTTAAATATAAATTATGCCTCTATATGATAATGAAACTTAAGTAATTCAAAGTGTCTTCCACATCCCATAACATGTGCAAAAGAGCCAAGAATCTTTATTCTTAATGTTATAGTGGTTTTCCCCTAATGTTGAATCTGTTATGTCTCCTGAAATTGTGTAGAATAACTTAATAAAATAATGCAGCTCACAGGTAGTTTCCTGCCAAGATCTATTTTGTTCTTCCTTCATTCGTCACAATTTCTATTGAAACAATATTAATTTTACATGTAGAAAATATTTCTGACCTAATATGGGAGTATTTTCTTGGACTGGTCTTGGTGCTACATTTTTTCTCTTGTATTACATCTTTTGGAAGGCGCCTCCTTTTCTAGAAATGGGACTGGATACTTCTTGCACTCCTTTAAACCCCTAGCTTAAGCCTGTTACTGAATAATGTGTTCCATATGTTTATTATGGCTTACATGATATATCTGTGCCTGAGTGTCTTTATTTATTACAAGTTTCCTGATTTTTAGAACATAATTTTGGGGTTCTGAACCTTTGTTGAACCATGCTCTCATAAGTTTGGTTTCCAGGCAGCAAAACTACACCCCTCCCTCTCTCTCTCTCCCTCCCTCCCTCCCTCCCTCCCTCCCTCCTGGGCCACACGCCATCACCATGCTGTATTGATCCCTCCCTCCCTCCCTCCCTCCCTTTTTCTCATGGTTTTCTCTTTCTGTCTCTCTGCCCCTCACTTCTTCCCTCCTCTCTCTCTCTCTCTCTCTCTCTCTCTCTCTCTCCTTTCTTTCTAAATAAGGGGAGCATTGAAACATTTTTAAAGAATGGGCATGACTTTTATAAAATACATTGACATTTACTCTAAAGGAAATGTTTGAGGGTTGGTTTGGCATGATTTTCAGTAGCAAGATTTTGGCATGCCAAATTGGATCATTTCTTCATAGTCAAGATGAGTGTTACTCAACAAAATGATCTTTGAAGCAATTGTCATTGATGCCCAACCACTCTGGGACCTCATGCCCAGGTGTTCTGCATGAAGCCAACATGTACTTATGTGATGTACTCAGTTGTAAAACATGGATGCATTGTACTCTCGTGTACATACTCTTGTGTATGTGAGTACATTCTCTGACTGAGGTGTGGTCTACTCACCCCACGTGGGCAGTCCGTCAGGCCAGCCAAGAATGGGGCTTTCTTCCTGCTCTACTGGCCTTAATAGTTGGGAGGACTCTGTGCTTCCAGGATTGCTGACTGTTTGTTCTAGAAGCTTGGCCTCTAGGGTAGGATAAGTTTAAGCAGGGAGCCTCTCTCCTTACCCAGAAAATGACATCCAGAATGTTTCCTGTTCTCTTTCTATTTTGTTTTAAAACGCTGCCAAAATGAATCTTATTTTAAAAGCCCAAGTTATTTTGGAAGATTTGAGGTACCAAGGTGTTTCTGAATGTTTATGATTGTGGGACAAGCCAATTTGAAACCAAATGAATGTGTATAAAAATACTCCCCCTTGGCTAAGAGCATAAAAGCCGAAGTTCAATTTGTGGTGAATTTTTATTGCCAAGTTATATACACCTCTTGGGCCATGAGATCTTTTGATACCATCTGAGCTTGGAATGGCTGCTACCCAGCCCGCTTGGAGAGCCTAAAGGATACTCTGAGCCTTTGTGTATGTTTTTAGAGCATGTGTGTGCTTTCAGCAGAAGAAAGTTGCTCTCTCTAGCATAGCCCCACACGCTCACCTCCACTCATGTTTTTACTGGGAAAGCTGGAAACTATAAAACTGTAACAACAACGCAAAAAATATATTAAAGGGAGAAAAACAAGCACACAGTGCCAAAATCTATAAAGTGTTTTGGTGACTGGGGCGGGAGGAAGGAGCCACTTTTTGATGTTCAGTTATTTATACAGCTGCCTGTTTAGTAGTAAGAATTCATAGCAGCTGTGATACCTCTAACACAGGAAACCACCAACTCACTGTAATATTGATATTAAATGCCTTTTATGTCTTTATCACGCCCCTTACAGGAATGTAGAATCCTGAAGAACTTTTCTTCCTTGAGGGCCATTGTTTCCGCACTGCAGTCTAATTCCATCTATCGGTTGAAAAAGGCTTGGGCTGCCGTCCCAAAGTAAGTTCCCAAGTGTCTGCTCTGCTTTTCTCTGGCTGGGGGATTGGTTGTGGCCTGGCTACCCTGAACTCTTACCTTCAAAGCTCATATTATATGACAAGAGAAACATATTTGAAACCTTCCACATGTTCTAGGCAGGGTAAAGTTTACATAGACTCGTTAATGAATTTCCAGGGATACCTGCTACAGAAATCAAAGTCATTCTTAGTGTGTGCCAGAGCCATGATTTTCAGCTTTGGAGGTGATCTGAAGTGGTGTTGAGGGACAAGATTGTGGGATGATAAAGTTGTGACAGTTTGCATGACTTCTGATTATTTTCAGCCTCATTCCAAAGCCCTAAGCTGGTCCAGTATGTGAGGGATCATGCGTGAGTTAGATATTTAACAGGAAATGATTTTGTCCACTTCTGCTTCAGCATATTAAAAGCTGTCTTAGTAAGATGAAGGACTCTTTCCTAGGTACCTGACAGATTGTTAACTGATAATATCCTATGCTGTGTTTTCACCATATTTCTTGGTGCAACCTTTGGAACAATTGACAATATAGTGATCTTATCATTATGCTATTGTTTCCACTTCTGGAATTTTGCTTGTGGACCAGAGACCTTTTAACAACAACGTGGGCGGTCTATTCCTATGTTATTTCAAATTTAAATGGTAAACCTATAGCTACCAGCTGGGCTGACTCCATCTTGCCCATGCTTAAAGTAGTGAGGATGTTGGGCTGCATTAGGAAGAGTGTGGGAACTGTCTCATCTACTCTGTATGCTGGTTAGGAGGGAAGCCAATGAGCTCCCTAGCGAGGGAGCAAGGTCTAGGTACCCAGGTCCTTCAGTTCAGCAGAGCTGATTAAGCCCGAAGGAATGGATGCTATTTGTATTAGTTACTTGTCTGGTTGCTGCTGCAAAACACCTGACAAAAGCATCTTAAGGAAGGAAGGGTTTATTTTGACTTAAAATTCCAGGGGATACAGTTCCTCATGGGGAAGCATCATGGTGGCAGGAGCAGGAAGTGCTGGTCGCATTGGATCTACAGTCAGGAAGCAGAACATGATAAATGCATGTGTGCACTCAGCTTTTTCTCCTTTTCAGTCAGCTCAGCATTCCAGCCTGTGGAATGGCACCGCCCATATTTAGGGTGGGTCTTCCCCTGCTGTTAACCTAATCTAGATGATCTTTCACAGACTTGCCCAGAGGTTTATTTCCATGGTGAGTCTAAATCTTATGAATTTGTCAATCAAGATTAACCATCACACTATTTAGTTTTCTAAGAGGCCCAGATGAGCAAACCAGAGTTTGCTAAGTTTGTGCTGGAAAATGGGTGCCAGAGGACCCAAGCTTACGGATGAGCCGATATTCTCATTCAGGCCATTATATGCTTGGGAGAAGTCACTCTGTTTGCTAGATAATACTTTGATGCTTTAAAAAGAAAGAATTAAAAGGTGTGATCTTAATGCTTCATATCAGAGAGCCATAGGAGCCATGGGCACCTGGGCCGCAGTGCTCAGGCTTTGTGCATGACTGTATCTGTCAGGACAAAAACCGGAAGATAGGCTTTTCAAAGTCCAACACAATTTTCTTAATCACTCTTGTTTTTATTTTTTCCCCTCGTCTTTATTATTTTCAATAGTGTATGAAATAGGTTAGTTGATATATTTTCCTCTGAACACACATTTGATGAAAGACCTAGGTCCTACAGAAACATTAGCTAGCAGCAGTCCCTGGTAAAGTGGGATGGGAAAACCAAGAGCCTACAGTGTCCTCATCCTCCACACTCTCACATTGCTTCCCCTCTCATCACTGCCCTCCACAAAAGAATGGTCAGTTGTTAAAATGCAGCCTTGTCTGGGTTCAGTGAAAGCTGATCATATTCCATTGATGGTTGACTAATAAGACACCATAGAAAGTCACCTAGCCAGCTCAGGATTTCTTCTATAGCAAGTTTGATGCTTGACGTACAAGTTTAAAAATGGTGCATGTGTATCTTGGTCTCTGTGGTTGCTATTTGAAAGGTTCCATTCTTCCAGCTGGCTTTTAAAATTGCTTTTCAAATAAAAATTAAAAATATATCTCAAAGCTGAATTCTGTTCCACATGTCTGGTTTGTTTCTTGGTTGGTTGGCTTACATTTTAGAAGGGATGCTACAGAACATCACCCTTCCTTAGGGAAGACTTTCCATATCAGCCTTATGTGTTCTCTGTTGCTAAATTCAAGTGACAGAGTTAAGATACCTTATTTGGTTATTACTTTCCTTATAATCCTTTACATGTCTAGCTGTAAGCAGACAGAGGTTACCTAATTAATTTCTTTTTATTTAAGTACCTGTGTAATTAAGTTATTATTTTCTCCAAAATATAAATTGTGGGGCTGGAGAGATGGCTCAGTGGTTAAGAGCACTGACTGTTCTTGCAGAGGACGTGGGTTCGATTCCCAGTACCTACATGGCGGCTACAAACTGTCCTTAACTCCAGTTCCAGGGGAATCTGAAGCTTTCTTCTGACTTCTGTGGCAATGGACGACACAGGTGCACTCACATACATGCAGTCAATACATTCATACACACAAAATAAAAATAATAAATAAAATATTTAAATTTAAAAAATATATAAATTGCATTCATAGTTTTGCTATACAAATAATACTATGCTCATTCTAACGCAAATAAGTTAATGATTTTTATGGTAATGGAAATTTTGCATGTGTAAGGATTTGACCCCTAATTACTTGGTGCCTTCAGAATCATCTACTTTGTGGCCCTGGAGAGGTGTGTGCAGACAAGCAGGTGGCTCTAGTGGACAGTACATGGGCGGGGGCATGAGGAACACAGGTGCTTTCCATCTCATTAGTTTTTCCATTATACACATGAGAAAATTCAAGCCTAGAAAAGTTAAGCAATTTGTCCAAGATTACTCAAGAAATTAAGTGGGAGAGTTAGGCTTAAACCCCTCTACCTTGGCTGCAGAGCACATCTCGGTTCCACCAGTCCACTCAGATGCTAAGAAAAAGAACAGTTGGCCCGGAGTGTAGGACATTTGGGTTCCACATCTGCAGCTCTCAGCCATTGCTAGGAAAACTTGGGCAAATCCTTAGGTCATGGCATCTTTCTTTCCAAACCTGGGTGTCTGCCCAAGATGGCCTCTGCTGGGCTCTGTGTATATTTCCATGATAGATATTTATTTTGACAAGTCTTTGTTTCTTCCATTTAAAAAATATTATTTTCAAAATTTTATGTGTATCAGTGTATCGCCTGCATGTGTGTAAGTGCACCCATGTCATACAATGCCTGCAGAGGTCAGAAGAGGGGGTCGGATCCCCTGGAACTGGAGTTACAGATGGTTGTTAACTGCCGAGTGGGTACTGGGAACTGAACCTGGATCCTCTGCAAGAGCAGCCAGTGCTCTTAACTACAAAGCCATCTCTCCAGCCCCAGTGTGTTGCTTCCATTTTAATGGAACTGGAAAGAAAGACTTCATTCATTGGTTAATATAATAACCCACGTTATCAGTTAAAAAAAGAAAAAGAAACAAAAACAAAAAACTTCACCTCAAGAGAACACCTCCCCAAAGCTTGGATGACCTTTTTTATATTATAATATATGCAGTTAGAAAAGATTCCTCTTATCATACAGGTAGCCATGTTCATCTTTTAAAAAAAGCTACCTGCATGAAGAAAATCACTGGCTTCATTTGTGTTCATATAACCCACAATCTTGAGGTCAGAGCAGTTCTTTCATAGCTGTAGGTACTTGAAGACAGCTGGGCTGAAAGGTGGCTGGTTGTCATGGTCTCTTTGTGGTGAATATTTTCTTGATCTCTCTTCATAGGGACAGAATGCTGATGTTTGAAGAACTTTCAGATATCTTCTCTGACCATAATAACCATCTGACCAGCCGGGAGCTGCTGATGAAGGTGAGGCTCCTGGGTGGCCCTGCTGAGAGCTCCAGAATCCATTCCAGGGAAGAGTAGCTTGAAGGCTCCTTAAGTTCCTTCAATATCCTGAGGAAGTAGCATTTTTGCTTCATGCATAATCTAGGAAACTTGAGACTGAGGAAATTCAAAGTCCAATTGAGCATTCTCCTTCTGTGCCTTTCTTCTTCCCTCCCACACATTCAAATCATGAAACCCAAGTACATATGTATACCTTATTAACACACTACTGTGGAGATGCTGAATACTAACAGTTAGATAGATGAGAGGCCCTGAAATATTATTTCTCAGCAAAATGTCTTAGAATGATGGGCCAGCCTGCAATTCCACATCCTTTTTGGGACCAAATTGCACAGTCTTTTTCAGTTAACAGTGTTTGTTGACTTCTGAACTGCATGCTAGACAGAGGTATAGCCTGGATCATTATACTTCTTTAGAATTGTGTTGAATGTCTAATATCTATAAAACATTGGACTTGTCTTTAGAAATATGATGGCTATGGACACTAAACAATAATTAAATATTGTTAAATAATGTTAAATAATAAATGTTAAATAATGACAACTATGAACTAACAGGACAGATGCTCTCTTCATCACTTTATATAAAGTAGATTTTATCATCCTTATTTTATAGATAGCCAAGACCCAGAGAGGAAAGTAGCATGTCTTAAGGCACTCACCTAACAGGCAGTGTAGCTGAAACACTCAGACCTTGCTCCTATTACTTGGACATAAAGCTATTTCTTCTGAGCCCTTGAGAGTAGAGATCAGGGTAGATCAGGCATGCCAGCATAGAGATGATAACTCAGCATTCATCAAATACTGATTGAACACCCATTGTGTGCTAAGTATTGGTGATCCAGCCATATTCATGGGATTATAGTCTCATGGAGTGGCAGAAAAGTGACTATAAAATACTACAGCATGTCCTGCATGGAGAGGACTAGATTGCAAGATTAGAAGGTGTGGTCCTTGGCTTTAGTTTACCTTACTGTAAATTGGAGACAACAATAGTAATAGGCCTGCTGATCTAATTTAATTGTTCGATGATTGCAACATATGTGAACTTCCATGTAAATGCTAGTTATTTTTATATGTGATAAGCTGTATCCATATGAACTGAATTGTGCCCAACAAATGAAAATGAAGAAGGCATAAGTTGCATATTTGAGCTTGGGAAGGATGCTTGGAGTGTAGGAGTGAAAGTCAAGTCAAGTGGGGTTAGTAAGCAAAGGTGTCCTGTGAATGACTCTTTTATATGCATA